CTATAATAGGAGTATCCCAATAATTTATTCCCCTCTTTTTTATAATTTCAAATATGCAAAAAAGTTAAAAAGCACATATACTTATAACCCATATACTTCTCACCTAAATTGAACAATTGTTATAATTATCATTATAATGATGTGGAGGTTAATAAGGCCAGTAGTAGAATTTCTTAAGTATATTATTTCCCAATGAGTTGTAGTATCTAAAATCCGCCAGCAGAAATCATCCAAAAGATTTCTTCACTATGAATTCTCCAGTGAACCTCTCCCTATACAATACATGAAGGATTTTCTGATGATGAGCCATGAAAAGGAACCAAAGGTTGAGTTACTCTTTCCCATAATTCCACTTTGTCTCTTGACTTAGCTAGCTTGGACCCACTTTTTTCTCGCACATGTTAGGTGCTTTATTTTCTCTTCAATGTACTCCGTGATTTTTAATGAGAGAGTAGAATAGCCAGATTTAGCAAAGAAAAAAAAAGGATGTCCAGGTAAACTCGAAATTCAGATAAATGATTATTTTTTCAGTATAAATATGTCCAAATGTTGCATGGGACGTGCTCATACTAAAAAGTAATCCATTGCTTATCTGAAATTCAATTTTATTTGGGCATCCTATGTTTTATCTGGCAATTCTATAAAATACACAAGTCTAAAATGCTTCTGAGGGGGCTGTGGAGCTCTTTTATATCTGAGCTCTTATGTTCCCAAGTGAATTTCTAGGGCTCTACTTCATCCTTAACATATAGCAATTCAATCCGTATATTTTATTCTGTAGATAGGTTGTGGCATCTTACTCTGGTTTTAATTTATATTTCTCTAGTTTTTAAGGAATTTGAACATTTTTTTATATGTCTAGGGTGTTTGCATTTACCTTTTAATAAAGTGCCTAACTTTGTATTCATATTTTATATTGGGTTTTCTGCCGAATTTCTTATTGACAACTTCTCTATACAGATATGTTTAAATGTGTTGCAAATAATTACTGCCATTGACTAGATTGAATTTTCGATTACTTCATTATCTCATTTAATGACTACAAGTTTTTATTTCTTTATTTTAATATACTTTGGTTGATTTTACAATATTACTTGCTTTATGATCCCTGCATTTTTATCCTAGTTAATAAGTCTTTCCCCGTGTCAACATATAGTTATTGTCTTTTAAGACTGTTGATAAATTTTAATGTTTTATCATACCAGATCTATTATTTGTCTGGGCTGATGCTTTGGACCCAGTAGGGTAGGGAGGAATCTCTGAGGCTGTTTTCTCCCAACCCTGCTGCACCAATCAGCCTATGACTTCCCTTGATGGCCTGTATCTCATTTTTTCCCATAAATCCCAGGTTTTCTTCTTTCTAGGTTTAAACTGGTATGTAGTCTCAATCACCATACCAATAAATAACCAATGAGAGAGAAGAATAAAGAAAGGGAAAGTGTTTCTGCATCACAAATAATAAAGCAAGTATTAAGTTAAAATTGTTTTTGAGCTAGTTGGGACAGAGTTGAGCTAGACACAGTATCTGAGGTGCATTTGTGTTGCATTTAACAAAATCTGTGGGGCTCTGGGGAAAATAGTGTATGTGAAGCTGGACACAGTGAATGAATTTGTGATTAGGGTAGGTAGAGTCACTTGTATACAAGTTTGAGGGTGTATTGCATCTATTGCCACACCAAGACTATATAACATCCAGCCATGAAGCCTCAGTGGCATACCTGGGGGGTAAGCATTTATTGCTCACACATCGAGTCATCTGGCGGAGGCTTTGTGGGCCTGCTGATTTTAGCTGAGCTTGCTGACCTCTAAAGGTCGGGCTGTTGAATGCTCTAGGCTGGCCTCAGTTGAGAGCTCTGCTCCATGCATCTCTTCCTCTTCTAAGAACATCCATTCATTCAGCTGGCTCAGGGATGTCACATTTCAGGCACAGGGAGAGCAAGCAAACAAATGTAGACCTTTGAGACCTAATCTAAGTACTGGCCTGGTGTCATTTTTATCTCATTCTATTAGTCACAAAACCTGCTTTTATGGGTGAAGAAATGGGTTCTGTCTCTTTATTGAAAGAACTGCAAAGTCACATGGCAAAAGGTGTGAATGCAGATAAGGTAAAGAATTTGGGCCGTCATTATAATCTAGCACGGAGTGGGTAGGAAATAAAAGAATAAATTATGAAATAAAAAAGTTGCCTGTTTTGAAAGCTATAAATTTCTTTGAAATTATAGCACTTTTTCTTCTCCAAGATGACTTATTTGCAAGATTTCCAGACGAATTTCTTCAGTTTGTGAAGCAAAAATGCCAACAGTTCTACACAAATTACCAGAATGTTTCACGATTCTTCTTGAAATACCTGTCAGAAAAGTTCTTTTGAGGGAGCACATGGTGGCATTTTTTTCTTGCCGTAAACAACACATATCTATCCATATGAAGAATCTGACGTGTTAAGGGTGAAAACTTGCAGGAAAGCAGTAACATTTAAAAGAAAAAGAAAACCAACTGAAGATCCAGAATAAGTAGGTTACTATTTCGGAGTGCTTTGAAATCTAGCACCATCTTCATCATTTGTAAAATTTGACTATTGGAAAGAGCAGACCAGAAATCTGATTTGGGCTTTTGCCATTTATCTGGTTGTGTGACCTTTGTAAATTAGCAATCTTTTTGTGTAGTTTTTGGTTCTATATATGGATCAAATAAAAATTCTGTGTAAACACTAAAGCACCAAGTAAATATGAGCTACGTGTACATCAAAAACAATCTCAGAAACAAAAACACTTTCTCCATGAAAAATCTTCATTGTGACGTCTAATTGCAAGCCATCTTTTATTTGGTCATTTATCGAAGGCAATAGAGTGTAAAAGTGTTAAGTATGATTCTTAGCTCATTTTGTATTTGTCTTTACCGGTAGTAGGTAGAAAATGAACCAGCACTAGAAAAATAATTGTATCAATTGGGACTCTTCCAGTTTCAAGTACAGTTGATCCTTAAACACATGGGATGAATCTGTGTGAGCCCACTTATACCCAGAATTTTTTCAGTATATACAGTAGTATAAATGTATTTTCTTTTCCTATGGTTTTTATAATAATTTCCTTTAACTTATTTTTTTGTAAGAATATATTATATAATACATATAATATGCAAACTATGTGTTAACTGTTTATATTATCAGTAAGGCTTTCAGTCAAAACTAGGCTACTAGGAGTTAAGTTTTGGGAGAGGCAAGAGATATAGGTCAAAACTAGGTCAATTCCAGTAAAGATGGTAGCATAGGTAAACAGGGTTCACCTCGCACAACTAAATTATAGAACCACCATCACTCAGAACTGGCAGAAATCAAGATGAATGAAAGTCTGACAACTATGGAATTAAAGGAATCACATCCACCCAGACCGGTAGGAAGAGTGGAAAGGGCTGGTCCCACACCCATGTGTGGTAGATAAAAATTTGGGAGGGATAACTCAGGAGTGAGGAATCCCAGCCCCATACCAGGACCCCAGCCCAGGGTGCTGGTGCCAGGAAGATAAGTCCCTACAATTTCTGGCTGCAAAATCCAGCAGGGATTGAGTTGGTGAAAGAAACTTCTGCAACCCCAACCAGTTCCTCTTAAAGAACTCACACGTGAACTCACTTCCTCTGAACTCCAGCACCGAGGCAGCAGCTTGAAAGGCACCAGTGGCATTCAGGGAGGAACTGAAGCGGCTGGCATCAAGGCAGGAGCTGGGGGGCAGCTTTCTCCCGGACAGAAAGGCAGGCAGAGCCACAGAGCCAGGAGGTGGGTGACACAGCTGAAACGCCATCAACCTGGCTAACAGTTTGCCCCACCATGGAGATCCAGTGAGGCTCCATCCCACCCAACTTACAGCCTTTAACATATGAATGTAGACCTTTGAATGGCTGGTCTTGGCTCAAGCTCCACAAACACTAAATCCTTTCAAACAAGTAATAGCTGGCCTCAGTGAGCCACCATCTCCTTACCCTTGCTAAGTGGTCCCAGGCACAGCACTAGCAGCAGCCAGCTGGGATTCACAGCTAGGATTTGCCTGGGAATCTCCAAGCCCAGCACAAATAGCAGCCATCTCAGATCCTCACCAACAGAAAAAGTGGTCTCACTACTCCATTGCTCTTGACAACATTTGTATTTTGAAACTTATGTTTTTGCTAATTTAATGGGTGTAATGTGGAACCTTGTGTTTTAAACTTGTATTTCCTTGATTATTAGTGAAGAGTATTTTTTCCATGTTTTTGGCCTTTCAGATTTTTTCTTGTAAAAAATACTTTTGTTTTTTTTCGGTGTGTTCATATTTCTACCAGGCAGTTTTTATTACGAGTTTTATAGTTCCACATTTTTATAAATTATCCCTTATGTATTAAAAACATACTGTAGCTTATTTCTTACTTTTACACTACTTAATGCAAATACAAATTTTAAATTTTCATATATTTAAACTAATCATATCTTTTATGACTGTACCTCTTTATCTTAAATAATTTTTCCCATGCTGAGGCCTGAAAATGTTGAATATGTTCTTTTAAGTTTAATATTACTTTTAAAAAAGTTGTTTTTAATCCAACTCACATATATTTGTTTATGGTTTGAGGTACAGATCCAAATTTATTTTTTTCCAAGTGGAAAACCAAATATATGAACAAAATTTTTCAAAAAGTAACCCCTTTCCATACTAGTTTATAATGATGTAACTTAAATTTTCATATATGAAGGTCTCTCCAAGTTTGATTCAAAGAAATAGCAGCATTTAACACTTAACCTATGCTTTCCAGGTATCGGGAATGTTGCTAAGCATTTTACATGTTTGATTGTGCATTTTAGAATTATAATGCCTGGGCTTACTTGTATACTAAGGACCCTAATAAATGGTAGGAATGACTTTATTTGTTTGTTTACAGACTATAAGAGATGTGTTCATCGGGTGAAGTATACAAATAGGCTGGCTAACACAAACTGCATTAAAAAAAGCATCCCAAATATGTAACTTTCATTTATTAAACAGGAAAAAAAATCAACATATTTTCCAGAGAGGCAAATATCTCAGTAGCTTTAGAGAAAAACAACCTCAGCTTGTTTGACAAAGCTTTTAGAACAAGTGAGCAATTAAATTCTTAATGTAGGAATAGAACATTAACAATCTCTAGACTCCAGAACACTTAGAAACCAACAAATTAGGCACTGTTTTGCTTAACAGTTTTAGCTTCAATGTAAATATATATTATTATTTAGAATATTAGCATGTGAACTACACGACTTTATCATTTTACTTTAATTAAAATCAAGATTTCTGGGACCTCCAAGTAGTCTTTAAAATTTTCCAATGTGGACATAAGCTAACCCCTATTCCTCTCTACATATTAAATGAGAAATGACTGTCACAATATATCAACATTTTCACAGGAAGATTTTTTTAAGGCTTCTGGTACATAAAATGTGTAATATCTCTGTGACAATAATATCATAATTATATACAGAAAATATTTAAAATTTATCTTGTGCAATTTAAGTTCTAAAGATTAAAAAAAAGTGTTCCATATCAATAAAGTATTAAAATATAATGTGCTTCCCATAAATTTGACACTGATTTTGTAATTACACAAAAAATGCAGAAGACCTGCATACTACATGATTCATCACTGAAATTAACTATTGAACTAAATATACTAATTTGATATCATTGGTTTTCTAGATCATACTTACAGCACAAAACAGGCTTTAATATAACTTATTAACATTTATAATTAAACAGTTCCATTGAGGCAGCCAATGTCACATCTGAGTTTGCCTAGTTTATTCATGTATCATACAAATATGTCTATGACTCTTAATTTATCCTTTTGTCTAAGTCACATTGCAGAGAATGTGTCAATCAGTAAGTGAAATAAAAAAAGAGTATTTCTCATTTGAAAAAAATGAGTCATAACACCTTGTCTTAAAGTTCTAAAGTAGCATATTCAGCTCTTAAGGCATAAAAGGTCAAAAATATTATAAATTATAAATTCTGATAATTCTTCTTTTGGCATTAAAAGCCACAACACAAATTCTTACACTTTAATAGATAATATATTAGTGTACATCTGAATATACATTTGCCAGCGTTCTCTATTGTATGAAGTTGTTCCATGAAGTGAGGAGGTGAAGTGCAGTATGGCAGGGCAACATTTAATGGCCGTCCTGGGCATCAAGGGACATGGAATGGCTGAGTCTTGACCTTCCATTCATAGATATTGTATTTGATGGAACAGTGACCTAAGAGAAAGAAACACACTTTACACCTGTCAATTTAAAATGGGATAGATAATTTTCAGTTTTCAGCAATTACTATATTTAACTTATGCTTAATTGTAAATGTTAACATTTAGTATTTCTTATGCAATAAATTACAAATAACTGAGAATAAATGTTCATTCTACCATGAAATTAAAAATAAGAGAGTTGTTATTTTCACAACAAACACATTAAATAATCCATTAACACATCTTAGTCTTTACAAAATTGCCAAATCAACTCAAAGGACAAGAGTACAAACAGACTGCAGGCCAAGCTGTTAAAGAGCATTTTTAGCTAGATTAATTCTGGCTCCTCAAAAGTGCCTTGGAGAACGTAGACAAATTAACTCCACAAAGCAATTAATTTTACAATTTTTGTATTGATGGTATATATTAACTTGAAGTTCACAGGTACCTCTTATTTATTAAGAAGAAAAAAGAGCTTTGGTTTTTAAAATGCTTTCATATAAAGGGCTAAAAAAGTCCAATTTATGGCTGTTATGCCAAAACATGTTTTTTTTTTCAATAAATAAACTGGTAAGTTCCAAAATTTATGGCAGTCTTCTATTGCTAAAGTGTAAGTGAATGAAAAACACTATAACAAGAATTTCCTAAATAGCTTGAAATTCCATTATTTAGAAAAAAGTAAAAAAATCATCTGGATTTTAAATAGTAAGTAGGTACAATATTTTTAAATAAATTAAATATTATAATATTTTAAGAAATAGTTTATGTCTAGATTACAGTTTGACCAGTTTAGATTCATAACCGAACATTATCATCTCACAAGAAGAGAACTAAAGTACAAAGGGCCAATGATTCTGCCCAGGAACAGAGTAAGCTAATAAAAAGGAAAATACAATTGGGAGTTTTAGTTTGGATTTGGTTTCGCTGGGCTTCATTTGTTGCCATTTACTAAACAAAAGTTGGTTATCTAAACTAGTCAATTTTCTTGACTCTCCTATGAATCCAGGATGGCAAAGAACGATTGACAACGTCCACCTGAAATAAAATAGCTGAGAAGAAAAGTTGCCGGCAGGGGAAGAAAATCTCATCTGTGCCCTGTTTTGTATTCATATGCGATTTCTTTCCAAAGATAGCCAACAAACAACACACAGGTAACGGCTCTTCATTATGTAGCTGTGGTCCAAAAAGTCTCTACGTGTAAAAATTACTCCTGTATTTTTTACCACAATTATAGTTCTCATAATCCTTTGCAAAGTAAAAGAATATTTGTTTTAAGCATTTAAAAAACATATTGGTGGCTCCAAATGTCTGCAAGTAAGAAATGTTCATGATCACACCATTTATAATGAAAAACTAGAATCTAGTTAAATGCCTACCAATAAGGAGCAAATAAGCTTATGTACATTCAAAAATAATATGTAGTTTTAAAAGAAGAGCATAGATATATATGTAATAAGATAGAGATTTTCAAAGAAATATGTTTATGAATGTTTTACAGAAGATTCTATTTTTATAAAAAATTAAATATGTTTATATAATACAAAAGTGGTCTGGAAGATTATACTGTAATCTATCTATCTAGAACAGTTACTTTGATGGAGGGGGACTATATTTTGTTTGTTATTTAAAAAATTGTTTACTGGACTGACAAACATGAGAAGACACCATTAGCATATAGTACTATAAATTCTGTGAGGTCAGACACCTTTTCTATTTTAATGCCACTTTTTACTCATGCTTGTTTTAGTGCCTGGCACAGGGTAGAACAATGAATATGTCTTGAATGGAATACAGTAACTTTTACAAACATTTATAAAGTAAAAACTAAAAAAAAAGTTGCTTAATTTTTGAGCAATGAATATATGAAACTTATAATAAAGATATTTTTAAAGAGTTAACATTTAAGAATTTACTGATATGAGCAAGTACTAAGTTAACTGTCTAACCTTGAAATTTAAAGGATTTTCAGGAATATTCACATAGTACTTTTATCCCCATAAAGAGAGTCAACTATGAAACTATCATTTATTTTTACTGTAAAAATGTATGAAAAGAGCTGCCAACCTGAAAGCCCTGATAGTTCAAATTTCAACTAAGGAAATATGAATTAAAAACAAGCCAATTAAATAAAACAAGGCAGAACGATTTTGGGTGACTTACCCAGTTCTTTTCTTCCCTCCACATTTCTATCTAGACAAATGTAAGTTTTACATTCTGAGGAAATACTTAATATCAAGTACTAAATATCTTCTGTTAGTTAATTTTCAGACTTTATTTTTACAAACCTATGTTCTACTTGTAATAGTATAACAACCTGTAGTAATTCAAGCATCATCAAGAACTGAAGGCTGCCAAAGAAGTCCCTGTGTCAACGCAAGCCAACAATAATGAATTAGTCTGTCTCATTCTCTGAACACAATTTGCTGATCCATACATAAATCTTAATGTCAAGCACATTTTAAAAAACACAGAGCTAGAATTATTAATGCTTCACCTGAAGACAAAAATTTCTGTATCTGCCTGGGGACTGAATGGAAGTAAGGTATGGAAAATACTTAAGAACAAGAAAAAAATATATCATGTTCAAGACTACATTTACATTAAAGCAATCAACTAGATAATTTTTCTAATGTGAATCAACTACTATAATGAAGGTTAATTGCTTGGTATGAACCAGAGCCATAAGGCAGGTTGGTACCTGGACTTAAACTAAACATTTGGGTGCCAAAATAAAGGCAAACCCTGAGCCAACTTTCTGATGAACAATCTAAACCTACTGTCAAAATCGCTTGAGGTTTTATTTGGCACTATAACTGTTGTTCTATTAAAAAAAATTAGAATTTAAAAAATAAAAACAGGAGAAATGTTCAGTACAGGACAGAAATATGGGACTTAAGCAAATATTTCAAGAAACTAGAGCCTTTTTGTGACCATTTTTACCAACTTTGGCAATTTTGTGAAATATAATACATTTAAAGAAAAGTGCACTAAACTTAAAACAGCCCAATGAAAACAAACACAAACATGTATATAACTCACCACCCAGGTCAAAAGAGAGAATACCTCCACCTCCTTGGTGACTTACCTTTACTTAACTCTTTGACATTTTACTCATCATGGATTTTGCATTAATTTGGACATTTAAAAAATATGGTTTTCAGATATTTATTTTACCTATTTAGTTTTCTGGTTCCCTCTTAAATTGTGTGTCTGTCTTGCTCTGATAAGCCCCCAGCAAGCCCTTACCTTCCCCTCTGGAAGTCCACTATCAGGATTTTTGTAGTTACTTCCTTGCTTTTAAAAATACTTGCCACCTACCATGTATTACCAATGAACATAATTTAGTGCTGTCAAATTTCACACACATATATTTTATATGTAGCTATACTGTTTCATTTAGCTGTATTTTGTCAAATTTATTTGCTGTATAATAGTCCATTCTTTGAATACACTATTCTACTATTTTTGGAAATTAAGGTTATATTTCTTTGAGGTGTTTACAAATAACATTCCATGAATATTCTTATACGTGAGTCCTGGTATGCACATTTTTAGCATATATAAGTAGAAGTGATCATGAAATGAAATCTGATCATGAAGTGTGGATATTGTGAACTTTATTAGACTCTGTGTCCACTTTTAGTAGAATAAAATGGTTTATGTAAGGAATTTTCATTAAACAAAATTTAAGAACTGGCACTCTATAGACTCAGAGCTATCAATAACCTCCTACTGAGAAAGATAAAATTTAGTCTCAATAGAACCTAAAGTAATGAGTCATAAACAGGACCCAATTATAGGATCATCATTTTGAGCCTGTTCTCTATGTTAATTCACATCCAGCTCATTCTGGAAGCAATGAGAGTTTTATATGTGAAGAGACTGCCAACTGAGAGCCCATAACACACCAAGCACACAGCTGCTTGCCTGTACGTTTCTGTTGGCTTAAAAGGCATTTCAACTTAATGCACTGTTTTCTACAATTAGGTCATTGAAAATGATTAATATATCCACTGGCTAAGTAGAAACACACTGCACTTTTCCCCTATGTAGATACTAGGTTCTTCTATGGGCCTCATGTATCACTGTTTCTCAGTCCCAGGCAGTGAACACCCAGAAGACAGAAGTCTCATTTTGCTCCGTTTTGTCTAGTACAATGTATGATACTTATGTGCTTAAAAAATGCTTGTCAATTCTATTGAATTGAGAGCTTTAGGTTGGAAAGTGGTATATTTGAAATATATCTTTAATTTACAAGATTAAATTAAAGCTAAAAATACTTCTGCAAATTAGAATGTGCAATATACAGGGGCATATTTCTCCACAAAAATATACATGTCATGAAGTATCAATTTTAATATGCAAAGACCTACATAATTTTTTGCTGCCTGGCACCTAAATTCAGGCTACAAAATATTCTAAATAATTCAACCCCAATTCCCTGAATTATTCCTTCATGTCTCCTCCACTTCTGACCGCGGGCACCATTTTGCCTTGTCTCCATGGGCACCCAGGTGGGAGCGCCAAGCCTTGCTCAGCTCGTCTGTCACTCACGGATCCTCTGAAACACGCTGAGGAAACTGGCCAGGGCGGCAAGGTCAGCCACGAGGGGGGCTCAAGATGCCTTCCCTTTCTTTCCATCTTTGCAGCATTCCTGTGGCTTCACAGATTTCCTTTCTGTCAAGCTCAGTGTTTTACTCAACAAGCCTCTTACTCTTCTCTAAATAGCTTTTAAAATGATTACAGAAGGAATTCACAAAATGAAATGCCTAGGGAGTCAATGGAATAAGGAGTACTTTTCTTGTTTTGGGTGTTGAGGAACTTGCAACCAAGATGACTAAGGGCAGAACAAGAAAGACATTTAGAGATACCACAGCCTCTGGGAAGTCAAAGGGATGACGCAGGCTTCAGGCTTCACCCGTTCTCTTTCGGGGGATGAGGGTGACGGAGGGAGGGCACCCACCTACAGATAATTCCCTGTGACAACCGCCTGGTATCTGTGGGAGAAGCGCGCCTCCTTTCCTGAAGTTCTCTTACGCATCAATACAGAGGAGCTGAACGATTCTGGCTGGCAAGGCATTATTAGGCCTTGAATTTCTACATCAGGTCTCATCTAAATTCTCTGGGTTTTCCCTACATTTTTTGGTTTACCTGTGAAACTGTCTCCTTCTCCACTTACCCCCATCTCATCCCACTGGTGGTAGTGACTTGATTACCTTAGTAACTATGACTGAAAACTTGCAGGTCACTAACTAGTGCAGCTTCCCTGGAATATGGAGAGATTTTCTTTCTAAAAGAACCTTTCTTGTTGGGGTAACAATTTCTTAACAGATTAGCCAAAGGACATCTACGCATAACTCACAGACACAGAGAAGAGTGTGGTGACAGTCAGAGGGAAAAAGGGGGTGAGGGATGGGTGAAAGCAGGCAAAGTGGGGAGGGGCTGAAATGGGGACAGCTGTAATAGTGTCAACAATAAAAAGAAAAAAAGAATCCAGGTACTTTCTCTATATATAGTTTCATGATAATGAGCAAAAGACATGTTCTGCACTTGGCCCACGTTATGGAAAACAGACCTGACATATTTTTTAAATATGTGTAAGACCCTGGACTTAGATTATACTTCAGAAATGGCCCCTGACATAAAAGAGTGACTTCTGACATCTTCCCTATTCACATTTAAGTGCCAGAAAACAATTCCCCCTATTACTTTGACATTGTTAAAAATAAACCCACTGTCCCCCATCTGATAAAGAAAAGTTACCCTTTTCAATTTGGCAGCAGCCTCTCCAGAACGGATTGCAGTCAGCAAACTCTGTCGGATCTCTTCTGGGTCAGAGCTTTGGAAGGTTAAAGAAGTTTGCCTCTTGAGGGTGAGTGATGGACAGTCAGTTGGAGATGGTATTTTGGAATTCTGTTCATTATGTGCAGAGTTATTTTCCTAAAATAATAAATGCAGAATACTTATATAAATACCAAGTGAAGAATGGACCATTTTCCAATATTTTTTCTTTATCAACGGTTCTTTAAGAATAGCCATTTGCCATATTGGTTTTTTAGACATAGCTCTATTTTTTCACCCATTGAATTATTTTGGCTGCCAGAGCTCAGTTGGAAAGAGGGTATTAACTTCTCTTCTCTTCTCTTAACTAGGGAGGGGGCTAACAAAGAAAAGTGGCACTTTCTTTGTTTTATGAACGCTGGACTAATTTTACTGTCCTTGAGTCAAATAAGGCTGATTTCTCCAATGAAGTTGGCTTAGAGCCAAGTGAATTATAAAAAATATATTTCACAGAAAAAAAAAACATTTTTACAGTTCCAACATATTAGATTGTGAAATTATTATTTTTGATGGTAAAAAATAGACACATATTGGTAAATTCATATTGGATGAACCTAACATATCATTTAGTAATAAAATATTAATGGTTGTGTTACATGCACTGGCTTGTTTTGTTTTTCCTATAAGTCAGAGGGACTAAGTGATGGCAAAGTTTTCTTTATTATTCCCATGAGACTAAAAATAAACATTAGGAATTTCCAAATTTAAGAATTAAAAATTCAATTAAACTTCTTAGGAATGAATATTTAGTAACTAATTTAACTGGCAATTATTATTAAAAAATACTTAAATATGTCTTTTTCAAACTGCCAAATAAATATCTTTACAAATGATCAGCTAAACAATGCTTGGGCAGTGGCCCAAAAATGATATTATCTAAATCAAGCTTCTGTTGCTTAGGAATGTATTTCATTCTAAGGAAAAAAAAAAAAAAAAACAGGCTTTTTTTCAAGTAAAGCATTAATCTCCTATCATATATCTCTTCCTGACATTATATCAAAGTAATAAACATAAATGTGAAATACATTAAGAAATATCCATCAAGGTAAATATTGTATTTCAATTATGGAAAAATCTCTACTTGGCAATATGGTTAATGTCCTGTTACTCTAGGAATTTTTGAAAAAGTCATATAGAATACTTCTGGAGCTGTCACACAAATATGAAAGTATTCTTTAAAAACTATCACAGTAAAAGTACACAAAGTATTTTTTTAAAATTGCATGGGGATTATCATAATTCATACTATGAATTTAATCCTATCCTTTGACTATTTGAACCTGGCAAATTATAACAGTTGAGCAAACATGAAGTCAACAAATATCCCTTGTTTTTTTGTAAAATATTAAGATTATATAGTGGTTAAATGATACTTTGGTCAACATACACATAAATGGAAAAGCTGACAGTGAATTGATGAAATGGGAAATTAAGAAAATTACATATTTAAACTCTGGCTTTAATCTAAATTATTTACATGTAAAAATGTTTACTAAGCCGAAGTTAAGTGTATATGACAGAAAATGCATAGCCGAGAGACATTAGATTATTTTATTTAGGCTTTGATACTGTTTATATTTCTATATAATTAAAACTTTTGCAATTATGTAGAATTGGAAGGAAAAAAAAGTAAACCAGAATATCCAGAAAAGTTATTGACAAATTGAGAAAAGCAAAACAGAGGAAAATACGGAGTTAGAACTAAAAACTAGTACAATATACAAATATGAGCAAAGAAAACTTAAATACATATTTGCTAATGATATATCGTGACCTTAATGCAATACCCAATCAGCTTATATGAATTTAGTTGTTCTGAGAAAAATCAGATTCTGTGTAACTACACTTTTTTTCTACAACAGGTAGTTTGATATTAGATTAATATGAATTCAGACTTAAATAATACACAAACATATCGACATGCTTGTTCATCCCCATTTAAATCATTCTGTATAAGTACCCGCTATTTTTAAAAAGGTAACATTTACCTTATTACTGACACTTAGTTGTGGGACGTCAACAAATTGATTTATGGAAGGAATCTTCCCTTCCTCTTTGTCACTTGGAGATGGGGCAGGCGCACCCTCGCTGCAAGACTCTGTACGCACTTTGCTGAAAGACTGTGACCGCTTCACCACAGCGAGGGCAAAGGGCGAAGGAGCAGAGCTGGAATAAGGTCGTGGGGCACCAAAAGTTTTCAGAGTCTTCAGATTTAGTGCTGCCAACTGACTTGCGGGAAGAGAAACGGGTTTTGGAGCTACAGGAGGAGGAGAGGGTTGAGAAACAAGTTTTGGAGCTACAGGAAGCGGAGGTGGTTGAGAAACAGGTTTTGGAGCTACAGGAGGGGGAGAGGGTTGAGGGGGCTTCTGCTGGCTGATGCTATCATCAGTGTTTTTAATGTGGGGTTGTGGAGGAGAGTGGGTTGTTGTACTGAAAGGAGAGACAGTTTGCTCTGCAGGGGGTATGGTATCCCTTTCCACCTCTTTCTTTATCTGTTCCTTTGGAATAGGATTGGGGGCAGTGTGGACACTCTTGGCAGCTGCAGATGTCACGTAGTGACCTGAAACCCTTTTCTGCATTTGCAAGAAAAAAGAACTTGGTTTGGTCTGGGAATTTGAGACACGAGATTTAAGTTTTGACTCCAAAATGTTGTTTATATCTTCCAAATTCGGCACAAAAGGAGCTGCGCCAGCATCTCTCGTCATTCTGGGAGTAGACTTCAGAAGGTTCGCCGCGGTGCTCTGGGGCAGGCTCTCCACACTGTGCACCTGATCCTCTGACCTTAGCGTAGGCTTGGGTTTAAGGTCTACCTGTGGCTGCTTTGGGCTTTCAGAAATAGCATCCTCTGTTTGGATGGCAGTTTCTTTCACATTCTCTTCAATATGCTTTTTTCCTAAAGTATGTGTATCCTGATCATTTTCATGCCCTAAGGTTTCTGATTCCCAGTCTTTTAATATTTCCAGGGATTTGGGAGGCACTATTTTATAAGTAGTCATTCCAACTTTGGGTATATAGTCTCTTGTAATTTCATTTGAAGGTTTTGGCTTGGGACTGTAGTCTTGTCTATAAAGTGGATAATTCTTTATATAAGAAGCAGTTGAATTTTTATTAATCCCATCTACAGGAAGCAAAAGAGCATCATTACCATGTACATAAATTGAATCTTTTATGGTGAGTTGATCTTCTGAATATATAGTTAGGGGGCCCTGATTCTTGAATTCTCTTGAGTTATCTACAGAAACTTGTGGACTTAAAGATGAATGTTGAGTTGATTTCTTGTTATCTGCAGTTTGCACACTTTCATCAGCTTTGAAGTCAGACAAATGATGATGTTGGTGATTCCCATCAAAACTGTTATAGGAAGGAGTTGTCTGAATTGCGGCATCTTGCATTTTTGTCTTTTCTGTACTGGGTTGATTAAGTTTTTGGCCTGGTACTGATGAAGCAGCTAGATGATTTTCCTTGTAACTTCCAGCAGTTTCAGTTTCATGTACATGATAGTTTGACAGTCTGTCAATTTCCTTGTCCACATTGTTATTGTTGGCAATACCACCTACATTGATTTCTGTTCTCTCTCCATTTTTCATAGTATCTTCTGTGTTAATTGAAATGGTAATTACTTCATTTTGATCTACAGAGAGGAAGAAAAATATCCATCAAGCATATGAAAAAAAAGTAAAAAACCTCAGTTTTCAATGCTTGCCTTCCCCAAAGTGAAATAGGTTGGTTTGAATTCTATAGGAAATTTTTCAGTTCACTAATTATACAAAAGCGGGCAATGGAATTTAGAAACACACACAAACACCCCCCCCCCCCATGGGCTTTGGTGTCATGGAGTCCAAAGTCTGGAATCCATCTGCAACCCGGCTTGACTAATTATAATCTCTGTGACCACAATTTTACTACTTAACCCTTTGAGCCTCAGTTTCCTCAGATGTAAAATGGTGAAAATATGTATTACAGCTGACCCTAGAAGGACACAAAGAGTATGGACACTGACCTCTCTCCACAATTAAAAATCAGATATAACTTTTGACTCCCCCCAAACTTTAGTAATAGTCTATGGTAACACAGTCAATTAACACATATTTTTGTATGTCATATATATTATATATTGTATTCTTACAATAAGTAAGCTAGAAAAAAAATGTTATTAAGGAAATCATAAAGAAGGGAAAATAACTTAGTATTTATTGAAAACAATGTGTATATAAGTGGAACCACAGTGTTCAAACCCATGTTGTTCAATGGTCCACTATGTATTTTACATATCATTTCTGTAGCATGCTTACTAGGGTAGGATATTGCCCTGAGCACGCACTCCATAGAAGATAGCTATGTTTCTTCTTATAAGGAAAGATTTCATATTTCAGCATTATTTATAATGACAAAAGACATGGATAATTTCAATATATATATTTTTTCCATTTTGATTCTTTTTCTGTCTTTTCTATAGCGCCTAGTATATTTATATTTTATACATACTATTAAAGAGGAAGCAATCTCAGCAAATGTTACCAGTTTTAAATAAAGCAGACAACAGAAGCAATACCTTTAAGAGTTGAAGTGTAAACAGAATCTAAATTGATTATCTTGTTAATTGCATCCTCACTAAAGATTGTTTTTAGTCATAACACTGGTGATTTCAAGTACATAAAAATAATCATGTGGTTTTTTACTTTTCTCTTTGGGAAAAAATATCCTATTGTTTTCATGTCAGAGTTAAAGTAGAGGAGAAAACCTCCCTCTCCCCTGTACTACTTTTCTTCTTAATTAAAATTCAGACTTCTTGAAAACAAAAATCATTTGCCAGTGTCTAGGTTAACAGAGCAATAGTCGCCAACCAAAAACGTGATGGCAAAGAACTGGAATGAGGCACCTGAAAGGAAATACGGGTTTATGAGTATGCACCCTGGGTTTAGTACTGAGCAAAGTGATTCATTTATATATTGTGCTTCTCTAGTCAGATGTCCAGAAGAATCATTTCTCTTGAATGACCAACTAGCCTTCATCTTCAATCCTCAGAGGCCTGCTCTTTCAATATAGTAGTTTGCACAGCACAAGTGAAATGTGTGCCTTGGGAATCAAATTGTGAAAGAATGTCAAGTATTTCTCTATGGTTTTATCATCACTCACTTTCATGTATAAGATAAACATCAATTTCACTCCCTAAAATGTCATGAGATATTTAAAGTTGTTTTTCTGTTAAGAAAGAAAAAAGACAAGGGAAAAAGAAAAATACGCATGCAAAAAAAAAAAAAATCATGTTGCCAGGTAAATTTATACACAAGCAATTTTTAAAAATATATTCATATTTTTAAAGCTTGTCTATTGTACAATTATTTGATCATGGTAGTTATATCTTATGTTATGTTGCAAGGTTCCTATAGTAAATATATACATTTTAATTTTTATTCTTCCTAAATAAAATGCAACTGATTATAAGAATATGTCTTATCTATATGAGTGACTTTCGTCAATGACAAATAATTATTAACTTCTGCGATTTATAAAATTAAGGATATGTGATTAGGAACCATGGATGAGGCACATTTCTGCCTATGCTCTTATTTACTTGGTTCTTAAGTATCTTTAATATCTGTACGAAAAGCACTACTCTCAATGCTGCTGGGACCACAAAAGTGTATAGGAAATGGTCCCTGGCACTAGGAAACGAGCCTAAATGTATTTCCTTCTCTCTTACTTCTCATTTACCACTGAATACAGGTTTATCCCAGTTACACAACAGAAATGTTTTCTAAAAGAAAGTACATTAATGTAATAATATATTTTAAATTAAATCCCCTATAACAAACTCTAATTTATTGGCTTAAATATCCAAATTTCTTTCACATTTTTGGTGGGTTCTATCTACTTTACCATTGTCTAACTCCGAATTTCTCATCAAAAATTCAGGATTATTCTAAATGATTGTCAGACCTGGACACCTAGAATCACTAAGGAATTTATTACCTAGTCTGTCATCAAACATACCTGATGTTAAGTGTCAATGAATGGTTAGGTCATTTTTTCAAGAATAGCCAGTAGAGGGAGAAAGTATATTTTGTAGCTTTCCGTCCTTACTCTACACAAAACTGATACCAATGTCTACACTATGAAAGGATGATTTAGATAAATATGCAGGATAACTAATAAAAGAGGAAAACAGAATAAAACTACTCCAAGGAAAAGAGAAATTATTTATTTTAAGAAACACCTCCAGTTAACATAGGTCATTGCAAATCAAGTGCAAATGCACATAAATATTATTACAGAAGTGTACTTGTAACCCCAGCACTAACTTGATGTCAAAATTTTAGCAAAAATTACTTTACTTAATTATTTTAAAAAGAAGGAAGCAGCTTTCAAATCATGATTTCTCAGTATAAATGTTACTGCCATCATAATATATGTTGTGAAAAACTCAATCAAGAGGAGAAGAATGGGGAAATTATATACTTTTAGATCCTCTCAGTATTATATCTCTGGATGGTATAGACCATGAGGAAAATGAATTGGAGACATATATATTTAAATTAACTAACCCATATAACATATATAAAGTGATATACAAATGAGACAAATATATTTAAATTAACCAACACATATGACATATATAAAATGATAAACAAATCTATCCATCTATCTATCTATCTATGACATTTGGGATAATCAATATTTTATCCAGATATATACATATGTGTGTATATATGTGTGTGTGTATCTATCTATCTATCTATCTATCCATCCATCCCTATGTTTGTTAAGAATCTTAACCTAAGTTCTATATTAACATAACAGATTGGACTATGAATTCTTATAGTCCCCTTAAAATACCACCACTGTGCATTCCTTGCATCTTCTGTGTGGCATCAGTTTTCTGATAAGTTCAAAGTATATATTTTAACAATATCTCAGTATCATGCTAGATGCTATGAGGAATTCGAACAAAGTATCAGATATAATTTTTCTGATCCAAACGTGTCCAATCTTAATGAAGAGTCACAACCAGAGAACTATATGGCTTCTAGTAATCAAGTAACAAAATAAGTGAAGCAGCTAGATTTGAATAGTGGTTGAATGGGTGAAGATAGGTTGAAAATTATTTTACATGCAAGGACAAAAATGAGCATGGGCCTAATGACAGAACTGAGAGATATATATGATGAGAAGGAGAAAACGCTATTTTGATTTGGGGGGTGGGGGGTGGGAAATACTAATAAATAACATTATATAATTACATGTAAAGCAGACAGACAAGTTTCACCCAAATTATAGCAACTTGAGTATGAAGTAAAACAGGCTTGGACTAAAGAGTCAGTAGAAGGAAAAAAGGGAAATTGATCACAAGTACATGCATAGATTATACATCTTTAAGATTTAGGTCAGATAACCTCTAACATTTAACAACAAAGGGGTACACATGGTAGTTAAAAGCACAGTTCGCAGCTTTGCAATAATATTGCCTAGATTCAAATCTGATGTATTAAGTAAGTTACATATTATCTTGGTGGCTCAATCATATATAAATGGGACTATAGACAAATAATGTCCATAAGTGAGTTAATATATAAGATTAAATGAGATAATACATAAGTGTTAAGAATGGCCCTTGGCCAATACTAAGTGCTATGAAGTATTGACTATTAGTGTTTTTAGAACTCACCATTTTCTTGGTTTGGACGTAATGACTTCAAGGTTCTTACACTGTCAACGACCCTCTCTTCATTGCTTGCACTGTATATCTTCAAGTGTGGTCCTCTGCAAAATATGATATTGTAGGTTATATTTTGATACTATTCAGATACACACACACATACACACACACACACACACGATGAGAAAACATCCAATAATTTCTAAAGACAGATGGACTGAAATAATCATCTTTTTATGCCAAGTACTGAAAATTTAATAGCAAAGAAAAAATGCAACTGAGGGAAAACGCTGCTATGAAACATTACCTTTTGTATGGGGATCCTATTACAAAGAAAAATGTAAAAGGCTTGGTAAAATGGATACTTTTCCAAAAACAGTGTCTTTTTGCTACTGTTATTTGTCTTTTAAAGGAAAAAGGATCTAAATGAAACATTTTAGTCTTGCATCTGTCATTATCAACTGGGTTTTTTTTAAATTTTATTTTTCAGGTACATTTTATATTTAATATTGTTTTTTATTAGTTTCAGGTGTATAGCATACTGGTTAGATAATCATATACTTTACAAAGTGGTCCCCTCAATATTTCCAGTACCCACGTGGCACCATACATAGCGTTGCAATATTAACTATACTCTATTCTGTACTTTACTTCCCCGTGAACTATTTTGTAACATCCAGACTGTACTTCTCAATCCCTTCAACTTTTTCATCCAAGCCCCCAATCTCCCTCACCTCTGGCAGCTATCAGTCTGTTCTCTGTATCTAGTTGAATCTGTTTCTGTTTTGTTTGTTTATTTTTGTTCTTTAGATTTCACATGACATTTGTTTTTCTCTGACTTATTTCACTTCGCATAATATGGTATGGTCAACTTCTGCTGGGTCGGGATGTGGACTGACCTCACTGGATTTTACTGGAGACAATCCCATGAAAATTATAACAAAACTTTGATGAAGATGGTTTATTTTGCCTAGTCAACTTCATTTTTCTTTATTCATGGTATGGCATTTCTAACATAATACAAGTGTACTATGCTATACTTTTCAATTCCTAGGATCAAGTGGAAAGTGTATGTTCTGTATCATGAAGTTGGCTGTAAAAATAATATTAATAATTAAATATAATACTCTAATATGTGGAATAGTTTTATATATCAGTCAGTGAAAATCCTTGCGAAGCATTTGGTGAAAGTGAAAATTAAATGTTCACTTAGGTCAAATAGGGAATAGACAAAATACATATAATACAAGTAAATAAAAACCTTTATATTTCAGTCACACAGATTAATTACACGTTATGGTTTATCTGACACCAAGATACCAGAAGTGTTGAATTTGCATTTATTTAAAACCAATTACACATAAATAGAGCATTTGTTTAACATTTTATTTAAATCTTCACCTGAGGACATTTTTTTGTTGCTCTTTTAGAGAGAGGAGAAAGGGGGGAGAGAGAAACATTGGTTGTCTCCTGTATGTGCCCCCTCCAACTGGAGATCCAACCCACAACCTAGGTATGTGCCCTAACTGGGAATCAAACCTGCAACCTTTTGGTGCACAGAATGACGCTGCAACCAATTGAGCCACACCGGCCAGGGCCTTTATTAAAAACTTTTATAATGACAGTAAACGGGATACAGTCTAAACCAAAGCAACAACTATATTTGCGTCTAAAATATCAGATCTATATTTCAGACTAGTATTAATTAAACAAACCACCACCAACACTTCTGGCACATAGACTACTTACTGTCCATCTGTGTTTCTAGTTTCTTGTTTTTCTTCTTTGGAGTTTTGTGAGGACTCTCCAGTATCATTGCCAAGGGCTGAGTCAGGATCATTTCTCAGTGTATTTATTATATCCGTAGATCCAAAAGGAATATCTTGTGACTTCCCAGAAATATTTTCAGCCTCATCTTTAGGCACTTCACTCAGTTCTTCTTTTTCATCTATTTCTTCAAGACTATAATCAGAGCTTATTCCGGCTAAAAAGTAATAAAGATAAAATCCTACATATTAATTTGCCTCATTCATGCCATACTATCCTGGCAAAGAAGAAATGTTTAAAATAATCATCACTGGATTCTTTTAAATTCTGGTTCAAAGCTAATAGTGAAATACTTCCCTAATGGTGAATAATTGTTAACATATAATCAGATTATTTCAGACACATACAATTCTAAAAATAATATGCTATCACTCTTAAGTTTTATTCATGGTAGAAAAAAGGGCATTATTTAAACCCAAAGTTATATATTTAATTTAGGGACATATCTTTCAATTTTAATGATTTTTACATTCATGTAATAGCTGTAAATGTAAATGAATACTACTTTAATATTGTCTATAAGTGCACTTGTAAATTGACTCAGTAGTTATCGGTACTAACTACAACTGAGAATTATCTGAGCCCCTGTAAAGACACTTATGTTCATACCCTGCCCCACACTTGTTAAATGAGCCCCTCTGAAGGGTGGAACCAAGCAGTTTTAGGGTTTTCAAGTGACTCTATATGCCACCAGGATTAAAAGCCACTGATTTAGATGCTTAATGTAATTTTTAAAAATAAAAACAGAATAAGTATTATACAATGAAAATTAATTTTTATTCTCGCTCAGTTTGATTCTGAGGCAATATTCTTTAACAGTTTTTTCCTATATATTATCAGAAAATATAATGAGCATATACGAGCAGATATGCATACTTACATTTCTCTTTTTTGCTAGTTTAATATAAGTGGAAGCATATTATACATAATGTTTTTCACTGGACTCTTTTTATCCACTTACTCTATCTTGAAGATTGTCTTATATCAATGTTATGTGCATGCACACATGTGTGCTGCTTTTCGATAGCTGTGGTGAATATTTCATTATATAAAACTGTGTTTATCATTATTCCTTAGTACCAACAACAAATGGCCAATAGGACAAACAAAGGAGGCACCCTAAGCAGTTAGGTCCACACTCACTGTGGATGTTAATCTAAACTAAAAAATGAGGTTCTAGATCTTTCTTTATTTCAATGTAATTCAACACTTCCACTTACATAATAGCAGCTGAACAAATTTTAATTTTTAATTTTTAATTAAAACTATAGAGGGGAGAAAAGGTGATACAGCATTGAATTATAGTGACCAGCACATCCACAAAATTTAATAAAAACATTAACATATTTGAAGAATATTTAAAGTACTTAAAATGCATTTCTTTATCTTTATCTTTAAGCAAATAGAAAGTTGTGCTATTTGTACTCTTTAATTAACAAATATGGAGAATTTTATTGGTATTTTTATTATAAATTAAAAAATAGATTATTCAACGGAAAAATATTTTAAAAACTTAAGTAAAATGTTAAATATATGTATTTTGGCATATCTTGCTTTATTACAACATGTGAAATAATCATTATGATGCCAATGTGTCCACAATATTATATCTATAATAGCATGTTACATCTATGTAGTAAGAATATATTAATATAATATAATTTGAAAACTGTATAGTGAGAAAATGAATCGCCATTTTGGTTTAGATGCAAATATGTTTTATAAATGGGTTCTCGGTATATATTAAGCTCTTTTGGAAATTATTAGATTAACTGAGGTGACATTTAACAAATTACTGATCATTATCCCCATTTTCCTTTTTGCCCATCACAAGTGTCTCAAAAATACACAAGTTTTTATTAAGTACGGTGCCCTCACTGAGAAGCTGATTTCAACTAATTAAAGTTTGAAGAATGAGTTACATGTTTCAAAAATATTCTCAAATTATTTTTCTGGGATTTTATAACTTGGCACTTAGAAAATTCATTTATAGGTTTACTTCAATATATATTTTTCACTAGCCTGAAAAGTATTCCTGTTATTAAATGTCATAGAAAAGGCTGTGATTCCTTTTAAAAACTGTAATCTAAGAGGGCTTTCACAGTTGGCTGTTTGATTAGTATAAATTTCCCAAGCTTTGAAAAATATTAAACCAATGTTTGTTGTGTATGGACTAACAGACTTAATGATCGCTAAATTCTAGGACTATAATAAAAAAAATCGGAGTCAGGCTTGTAAACAATGAATAATTTTTACAAACGTTATATCACAACTATTGCATTTCAGCTTCAAAAGTTATAAAGGGAAAATATTCACTGTGAAAGAACAGTGTTCAAATTTAAGATTTAACAAGTTCTAGAATATAAATGTTAAAAAATTACAAAACAATTTAAAAGTATAGTTATTGAAATTTCTTTTACACTTACTTAGCTTTATATATTTTGAATATTTTTGTTTTTCAGTCCCTCTAAAGATAACAAAATCAAAACAAAAGACAAAATTAAAAATTCTTTAAAATTCACAAAATATAACACATGTAAATGTAATTTAAATACAAAACTTTCAGAATACATTTTTGTATGTTTGCAGCATTTTACTTCTAAGTTATTAAAGCTTAAAATTTCCCTGAGACTTTTAGGATTCCTTATACATTTTCGCTGGACATGATAAAAATTGTAAAATTGTCTTACAAATACCTCTTTTTAATAAAATGGAATTATATTACATTAAATCTAGTCTGGTGAATTACTTTTTAAAAATTCATTCATTCAAAAAATATCGACTATGTCAGACATTATTATCGTAGTTGCTGCCAGGCAGAGCTGTTTTCCTTTTTATTTTTAAAAACTGAGGAATATTTTATATTCCATAAAATTCACCATTTTTGGAATACATGTTGGAATATCCCTCAGGCTTCTTAGTGACCAACCCCTCCCCCAACCCCAGCTGTTGGTAACCATTAACCCTATAGTTTTGCCATTGCAAGAATGTATATCAATGAAATCGTACAACACCCAGTGATTTAAGTCTGGCTTCCTTCATTTAACATAATACAGTTGAAATTCAGCCATGTTATTGCATGAATTAGTTATGATTATTATTTTTTTTACGTGGAGGTGGTAGTATTCCAATGTCTGGACCAATCAGTTTTTTAATCCATTCCTCAGTTTAGGGGCACTGGGTTGCTTCCCATCTTTGGCAGTTATGAATACAAATTCTACAATAATTCACATGGAAGTTTGTCTGTGCTCATAGGCATTGAGGAAATACCTAGGAGTGGGATTGCTGGGTCACGAAGAAAACAAATGCTTAAGTTTTACTTAAAAAAAGAACCTGCCAAACTATTTTTGAAACTGGTCACACAGTTTTACATTCCAATAAGCAGTGTGTGATAACACAGTAACTTTAAATAACTAGTTTCAGGTGCTATGGACTCTTTCTGAGTCACTAAAAAACTGAGCAAAATATTTATGATAACATTCAAGTATTACCTAACTATAAAGTTTTGCCATCTGGTAACAAAATAATTCCAACATTTTAAAAATAAAAATTTCAATCAAAATCAATACTATGGAAAATAAGCCATGCCTCAGTTACAAAAAAGAACTTCAAGAAAGAAAAACATTTTTTTTTATAGTTATATAGTTAGAGATTAGAAATAATAAAGTTCAAGTAGTTTGCCTAAAACCCCAGAAGCCAAATAGAAGAGAAACTGAAATTCTTCAGAACGTCTGATTTTATTCATCTTACATCTCAAGAAAAGCCCGGTCACCTACATGTCAGAGATGCTACGGCTGCCTCGGGTGTTTCAGGGTGCTCCAATAGAGAGGCTTCATCTGCCAGTTTGGGAGAAGTGCACTCTTCGTGACTGGGGAGCCCAGGGCCAAGTGAGGCTTCTGCCAAAGAAGTAAAGTCTGTGGAAATGGCACTTAGACAACAGAGTTAAGACAAGCAGAGACCAAGAGTGTTTTGGAAGGAATCAGATTTGTTAGCTCACAATTATCCAAGCATTAAACAGGAAGAGATAAAAAGAAGAGAAAGAGAAATAGGTATCAAGCAAAGTTTGAATAGTAGTTACACCTTTTTTTCCTAATACTTCAGGATCTTTTCATTTCACTTATACAGTTTGATGTAATTTAATAAATTTTCTTTTTGGAACATATGGTATCCTAACATTTTGGGTAGGAGTTAAGAAAATTCATTACTAGTTATTTAATGGTAACATTTTTAATTACAGAGGAAATGAGAATTTTTGTGTAAGATGTGTCAAAATTCCAAATTCCTAAATATCACTTAAATATAAAAGATTCAGGAGCATTTGGGTGCTTCTGAGTTCTTCCTGTATTTGTGAATATGAATTGTAAAAATTAGGTAAGGTTATATTAAGCAATTATCATACCTATCAAATTATCACCATTCTAACATACTGGTATAATGACATTCTATTTTTGATTAGACATTATTAGCCTGTTATATTCATTTATATCTAACTTTAAAAGTCAAAGGATTAAGAAATTTTATCATACTCATTTTTATAATAGCTACTAATAAGTAGCTATTATTAAAAGTATTAGGAAACAGTATTGGATTGAATTATTTCACTTTTTCTGGAACTTCATTTACTGTGAGAGAACCCAAAATGAGAACACATAATAGAAAATATTTCATAATAACAAATTCTTACCATTAGATTAAAACACCCTGTATGTTAAATTCATACCTAGGACAGTTGCATGAAGAATGGTGCTTTACACCCTCATGTAAGTTTTCTTCTGAACACAATAAAATGTGTCATTTCTCTTGGGAAGGAGATTAATAACTGATAACCTGACATTACATAGGGAAAAACAGGAGACCTACTAGGGAATATACCCAAGGTGCCAGAACTAAAATTTGTGAGTTGTGCTCATTCTACACTCTAAGCTCGAGAGGAAACTTTTTCATTGAATAATATAAAATTTGGGAAATGGAGTAAAGCATTCACATTTCTCTCATATGCAGAGGGTTATAAGTAGAGTCATTCTTCTACTGTCATGATGAGATCTTTTTCCATAATTACATGACATGTAGTAACGGTGTCACACATACCTGGGCTGGACAGCCCCTCGGGAGAGCTTGCTTCTGAAACACTGTCTGCATGCACTGACTGCAGGGCTGGAACACAGCAGCAACACAATTTAGAAACAGGTCACATTCACTAAAGAAACAATTCCTTAGTAGCCTACTTATTTTTACATAATTCAGAAAGAGAGAGCCATTTTACTAATCCACTTAGATTTGCATTCATGCATGTAGTCAATCCTGGAATGGCTGGATCTTTCTGAATAGATTTACAAATTATCACATACTCATTAGGATAATGGAGCTGTACAGTTTTTTCATTTCATTTTGTCATGTTGCAGATTTTAAAAAGGTGCTTAGGTAAAATAATTAAGGACTAAGTGTTATTAAAATTAACTAAAAGCCTAAGTTTAAGCATTATTGTTAATAAAAAGATATGATTTATAACCTCTATCATTACTACTGTCTATATTAAACAAAATACAAATGTAATGTCAATGGGAAAAGTAACATTACCAGTCACAAGACTATTTTCATTACTTTGATGCAGAGGTATTTTGGAGGGTGGGGAAGGTGCCTTTCGCTTTGTCCTTTTCAAAGATGAATTCCCAATGGATGTGCTACTGAACTTCAGAGAGCCTGACCTCACTATGTCTGATCCACAGGAACTCTGGAAAACAAAATGACCAAACAAAATCTCTGTTTAGAAATTAATAGCAAACTTTAGGAAGACAGTGACTTTAGCTCAAATGCATCATATAATATAGAACATAACATTATTCATTCAAAAAAAATTTGTGGAGTGTCTGCCATGTGCCAGGAGCTGGGCTATGAGATGGAAATGTAAAGAGAAATAAAATATGATCCTTCTTAAGAAATTTAGGCCAGGATGGGAGACTGACATGCAAACAAATAATTACAATGTAGAGGAGTCTTAAGCAATACAATTAAAAACTAACTTTCAAAGAAAATCTGGAGAAAATACTGGACAAAAGAGGTAAAAAAGAGAATAATATAGGTATATTAAGAAAGTTGGACCTGGAGAGCATTATGCTAAGTGAAATAAGTCAGGGGGTGAAAGACAAATACCATATGATCTCACCTATAAGTGGAACCTAACCAACAAAACAAAAAAGCAAGGAAAATATAATCAGCAACATTGAAAGAAAAAACAGACAGTAATGAAAGGGAAGAACAGAGCGGGGTAAGGGGGAAAAAAAAGGGGAACAGTCAAATCAAGGAACATGTATATAAAGGACCCATGGACAAAGCTGAAGTGGGGAAGGACTGAGGGTGGGAGGTGGGGGTGGGTGGGCCAGGGGAAAGTGGTGATGGGAAAATGGAGACAAGCATATTTGAACAATAAAAAAAATTTAAAAAAAAGGAAAGCTGGTTTGCCCTGGCTGGTGTGGCTCAGTGGATTGAGTGCTGACCTGTGAACTGAAAGGTTGCTGGTTTGATTCCCAGTCAGGGCACAAGCCTGGGTAGTGGGCCAGTTCCCCAGTTGGGGGCATGTGAGAGCAACTGATTGATTTATCTCTTACATATTGAGGTTTCTTTCCCTCTCTTTCTCCCTCCCTTCCCTTCTCTCTAAAAATTAAAAAAGAAAAAGAAACCGGGTTTGATTAGTCTTTCTCTTTTTAGCACTAATGTATCAATGACAAACATTTCAAAGAGCAATGTCTATTTAGGCAAGGTCATTTGAAATGACTGACTCTATGCAGAGCTAATGCTCACATTTATGGCATGTGACTGTCAGCAGACCCTATGACAATTCTGCCTCATCAAGCTGGCCAGAGCCACGTCACCTGGCCCAGAGCTGTGTCACCTTGTTCTTTCTCTTTATAACAAACCGGCTTAAAATAGTTATTCTTTGCTTTTATTTTCAAGTTCTCATCTCCTGCTTGAACCTTTCCATCAGAATACCCCAACATTTGATCCATTAACACTATCTACCAAAGTCATCAATGACCTCCCCTACAACTAAATCAATGGTTCCTTCTTAGAACTACTTTATCTGATCTATTAGCAGTACTGAACAGGGTTGACTGCTCTCTTAGAATCTTCTTTTTTGTTCTTCCCAGTTACCACATACCCTCACTCTCACAGGTCTGAACTTTGTTTTCTTTGTTGGCTGCTCTTCATCTCAGTTCTTGAACATGCATATTCTCTTTAGCATCTACGCTCATTCTCTCAGCAAACTCCTCTGTTCCCCTGGTTTTATGTGTTAAATACATGTTGATGAATTCCAAACTGAGGCCTCCAGCCTGGGCCTCTATCCAATCTCCACTTAATGTCTAAGGCCATTTCAAACTTGGCAGGTCTCAAGCTGAAAGCCTGATGACCCCTTCTCTCCCCTCTTCTGTCCAAACTAATCCTGTGCTTATATTTTTTCCTGTTTCAATAAAGAGCATTCTTCCATTTGTTCAGACCAATGACTTTGGAGTCACCTCCATCCCTTCTCTCTCAAACATCACATTAAGAATATTCTGTTGGCTCATCTTTATTGATGGCTACCACACAGACCAAATTATCATCAAGAACTTGAGAACTGGAATCTGCTTCCACATTGTTTCCTTAGAATTCTTTTTCAACATAGCAGCAAAAGAATCCTGTTAAAACCTAAGTCAGATCGGGTCACGTTATTGAAAACCTGCTAATAGTTTCTCAATTGGCAGAGAACCATCAGAGTCCTTGTAATAACTTCTAGGGCAATTGATAGCCTGGCCCCCCCGCTGCTCTCTCTGACCACCTTCTCCAAACACGGAGTGTCTCACTCTAGTCTGGCCGCATGAGCTTTCATGTGGCTCCTCAGATGTGCCAGGGTGTCCCTGCCTCAGGATGGCTTCATTTGCTCTTGGAATGCTCTTCTAGTAACTTAAGTCTTACTCCCTCATTTTCTTCAGGTCATTGCTCAAATGCCACCTTTTTGATAAGTTCCTCCTTGACCCCCAACACTTACTCCTTTTCCCAGCCTGATCTTCATAATCAGCATTTAATAGTTCTCTGACATAGCATATACTTGGCCTATTTACCTTATTTATTGTCTACTTCCACCAGGGTTGACTATAAGGGCAGGAATTTTTTTCCCTCCTATTTTGCTCACTGCTGTCATCTCTCAAACAATGTCTAGCTCATAGAAGTTTCTCAAATACTTGTTGACTGAATGATATAATGAATGAAATACTGCCCTTTTCATTTATAAACAAAAGGACTTGGATAAACTTGGACTAGGAGAGTACCTAAAGCTTGCGTCATCCCAATATTTATGAGGCAATGCAAGTATACCAAGGGAAGCAAATTAGTTCATAGGATTCTTTCAGTCCTTATGCCTTGCTACACACCAAGAAAAATGTAGCAAATTTTTCTATTTTGTAATTTTGTAAAATTTCTGCCAAAGAAAAGAGGAAGCTTGTCCTCAAAGAGAAAAATGTGAGTTATTGCCAACTGTGTTAGGTCATCTCACAGGAAAAGAAGCAGAGTTATTCCAGTGGCAGGCAATTGATGGAACACAAGTTTTAGTAAGGTTAACTCCTCTTAACAAAGGAGGCAGAACAAGGTGGCTGCAGACTGGCCTTACTTGAAGTCTAACCATTAAACTTCACACCAGTTGGTAGATAGCTATTGTCACCAACCTCATTCCCCTCATTAATCTGGTCCCTCCTCTAGAACTCTTCTGACATCTCCATAATAAAGCAAAAAGGATTAATGACTGCCACCCAAGCCCAGATTTTAATTCAGAGTCACTAAAGCTAATTCTGATTAAATCTGAGGGTCACCTCCACCCTCATTGGCATCAGGTGGCTCCTCAGTTGCTGCTTGGAGTTTTAAAATAATTAGAAGATCATTGGCCATCCATTAGCTGAGAAAGAAATGTAGTGATGGATGGAAAGTATTTAAATATCATTTTCAGTAGAATAAAAAGTTTAAATTAAAAGCTTTCTTACTGATATGTCTGTGTCCTGAAACTTTTACTTGTTATTTATAAAAGGAACAAATTTAGCAGTCATTAGGAAAAAGACCAAAAATACTCCTAAAACAATGTGGTGTTTACTTTTTAAAATATTGATTAAACATCAAAAGCAGTAGATGTCATTTTCTTTCTTGATGCATTCACTTTTATAAAACCCTATTAAATCATGCCTCATTCCTATCACAGGAGTTTATCGGTAAGAACACAGTAGGTGATTAGTAAGTACATGTTGAATGCATGAATAATGGCAGAATTTGGTTTTCCTCATAGCTCTCCCTTGGAAACTTCTTTCCCATGTTTTGACTGACTGTTTTTATGAGGCCTATGATAAAAAACTGCTGCCTCTTTTAGGACAGATTTCCAATCACTGTCATTTATTGGTCTTTTTTATTACCTGATAACAACAGTCACAACATGAATTTCTCAGACAATAGGGTCTGTTTGGGAATTAGAGCTCTTAAATTTTTGTTATAACATAATAAAGCAGACAGCATAGAAATAAAAAAGAAACATTTATATACGAACATTCAGAAATGTATATGAACCTACCCACAACTCAAAGACAGAATAGAAATAGACTCATATATTTCATTTATCACCCTGGGGGTTTTAGGACAAACTAACTTTGTATACAGGCTATTTATTTATCTATGGATAAAGGATTTAAAATTAAAAAAAACAAACAGATTTCAAGTTCACAAACCCTAAAAAACTTCAATAGCATCTATGAAGACAGTTGACAAGATAATGCATTTATAGAAAGGTAAAGCCTGGAACACTTTGGTGGAGCACATTTTATAATTTTATTCTGTAAGATTTATCCTCCTTACTGTATTGTGTGTGTATCATGAAAGTAAATGGATGTGTATTTTCTAGCGCTGCAAATGAATCAAGGAGACTAAGAATAAAGACATTAGGGGAAGAGAGCACTGTAGTCTGAGTGATGCCAGGGAGACTATGCGACCTGTCATAACTAGATTCCATGCCAATTAATGGTTAAAACTTATTATGCTAGTGAAAGACAAATACCATTTGATCTCACCTATAAGAGGACCATAATGAACAAAACAAAGAAATGAGCAAAATAGAACCAGTGGCATGGAAACAAGGAACAGACTGACAGAGACCAGAGGGGGGGAGGGGGATGGAGGGATAAGCGTGGAAGAAAGAGGAAGGGACTTGTCAAGGGACACATATAAACGACCCATGGACGTTGGTAACAGTGTGGGGATAGACTGTGGGAGTTGGGGGAGGGGAGGGCGGGGGAGGAGGGCAAAGGGGGAGAAACTGGGACAACTGTAATAGAACAAAATATTTTTTTAAATAACTTATTAAGCTTATAGCAAAAATGTAAATTTAACAACTGATATAAGATGGGCTAAAGGCAGGAGTTTTCACGGAATAAGAATAGTGACTTTAGATAATCAGCAACAGGTTAATTAATGACAGGAATGTCAGTTTTGTGCCCACATAGGAGTGATATTAGTGTTAGCATTCAAGGAAATAGCTTAATATATATTTCTTACTGTCCCTTAAGACAGAGAGGCAAACTTTTCTGTTTGTTTGTTTGTTTGTTTATTTGTTCAAAGATACTATTAGAATATAATTTCAATTAACTAAAGAGCAGCCAAGGAAAGTTAAGGGAATAAAAATCAAACTTGGAGTTATTTTGTGGTAACTCAAAATGTTACTTATTA